CCAGCTCAGCCCACCAGGGGGCGGGGCTGGCTGGCATGTGGTGCTGGGGGATTGAACCGCGGTCCCTGTGCCTTGCTTAGCTTAGCTTGTTCTAAGTAGGTGCTTTAGACCACCGAGCCATCTCACCAGCCCCCTCAGGCCTCATTTCTAAGAGCACCTTTAGCTCTGAACTCAGGGATGGATGCATCGGTGCCCCGTGATCCTCAGGCATCAGGTCCCCCAAGCATCCTCACTTCCTGCCTTTCTGTTCATTCTCAAGAGTTTGGAACCTTTGCATCCCCAGAACATGTTGTTGTAGACCTGGTAGAGTCACTGATCAGTGATTAGTTATTAGCTTGCTTTCTTTAAAATAGATCCACCAATCAGAGGTAGAACGACTTCTAACAGGCTTTTTTAGTTGGGGAATTGTGCATGTGTTAATGACATATTTACCTGGCTTTGGTATAGAACTCATCAAGATGTCCAATAACTGCTGTTTCCTCACACTCTTTATTTGTGACACATAATGTATTGTTGATTTTCCACTAAAATCACACAGTTTAGGATCTCTAGGAAGAATAGAGTGAACATTAAAGATTATTTAATCTAAATCTGTTGAAAAAGGAAAGCAAATATTGGAGAAAAAATGATACCAAATGAATAAGAGATAATCATATGTACTGGGAGGTGATAATAATCATTCCAAAATGCATGAGATAGAAAAAAAAGAACCCAAGATGTATGAAATGGAGGGTGACAATTTTTCAAAAATTTAAATAAGGATAGTCTCTGTATCTTATTCTTGCCACCATTCTAAAGACTGTAAGATTTTTCTGACTATTTCCAACTTTGAACCAAAATGTTCATAATTTAGTAATGCATAAATATGATTTTAAAAGGGCTTAGCCCACTGTTTTAACATCTCAAATACCTGACTTGATTTTTTTTTTTTTTTTCGTTTCTAATGACTTAGTTAACTCCTGACTTAAACAGTTAGTTCTTTTGTCATTCAAAATGGGGAACTGCCATGGAATTGCACCTTAAAATTAAGCTAGGACCAGGGATACAGCTCAGGGCACAGCTCCTGTCTGGAGAGTGCAAGGTCCTGAGTTGAATTCCCAGTATCAACAGATAAAATTAAATTAAATGAAGCTAGGGCTAGAGATGTAGTTTAGTGGTATAGCACTTGCCCAGCATGCTTGAGGCCCTGGGTTCTGTCCTTAGAATAACAAAATAAAATAAAACAAAAGAAAGCTGATGGTGCTTTTCACACAAGCTCTTGATCGAGCAACTTGAACATTATCTCATCATTAAATGTCCCTTGTCACATGATCACTTTGTTCCTCTTTCCCTTACCCTGGAGTTAGTGAGTTCAACTGGCTGATCTTAGGGCTCTTTCTAATTACACAAAAGTCTTATCTTCTTTATGTTGTACTGAATCCCAGTTTTTGATACTGGCTCAGAGAGGTCCAAAGGGTAAATATAAATAATGAGAAGCTCATTAACAGATTATAGTGAGGGAAAGAACTGTGTTATTTTTTAGGACAAGGAACAAGTTGATCTAAATCCTTTCAATCCATACTAACCACCCTCCTCCACACACACCTCTTTTTTTTTTTTTTTTTAAGAACTGGGGATTGAACTCAGGCCTTTGCACTTGCCAGGGAAGCGCTTATTCTACTGAGCCATCTCCCCAGCCCCTACACCTCTTTTTTCTAGACAAATCTTGCTAAATATTCCAGGCTGACCTTGAACTTCCTGTGTAGCCCTGCCTGGAATTCTCCATCTTCTTGTCTCAACCTTTGACAACATTTCCAATATGAGTCTCTTTGTTGCTACAGACAAGGTGATATGTTATTTTAGTTGTAATAATACTTTCTCATGGCATCTATATTAACTCAAACTGGGAAATGGTAGCACAGGCCTGCAATCGCAGCTCTCTGGTTGGCTGAGGCAGGAGGACTAAGTTCAAATCCAGCCTGGGTGCTTAGTGACTTAGAGAAACCTGTCTTAAAATAAAAAAGTAAAGAGATGGGGATGAGGCTCAGCACAAAGACTTTGATTAAATCCTCAGTATTGTAAGAAAAATAAGCTCATAATTCAAAAGAAATAATATAGGATCAAGAACAGGGGCTGCTCTTCTTTGACAGATAGGCTTAGATGAGTTACTCAGTTTGGGGCTCTAGTTTGCTCATCTATCTGCCTTTGATATCGTATATTCTGGACTTCAATCCATACCCATGGAATACCATCTGGGTATGGGTGTGTGTGCAGGGGTCTATTCATCCCTCTTCATTATAATAATCCTAGCAGTTTTCTTAACCCTAAAATCTGAGAAAGCTTCAAAAATGTATTTTTATTCTATCATTCTGATTGATTGATTGATTGATTGATTGATTTTTGGTGGAACTGGGGATTGAACTTAGGCCCTTGTGCTTGCCAGGCCACTTATTCTACTGAGCCATCTCCCTGGGCCCCATTCTGATATTTTTGTATTACATGTCTTTGACCATACTTTTCTTCTTAAAGCCTGTCTGTCTCTTTCCAAAACAACATTTATGTAAATACTGAGAAAGAACTGGGCCATCTGTTCTGCATGATGACAAGATATCTCGGTAGCACTAAGGGGAAACTGCACTTAACCCTATTTTTGTTTTTCAAGTTAATCATTAAGTTTCCATATCCTAAAAAACATCTGGTAATCATTTTCAGATAAATGGAAGTCACCAGTATAAACTGCCCTTGATAGACTGACAGTGTTATTCAAAATAATTAGTAACATCTTGGAGGTAGATAGCTACATATTGAAGAATTATTTGCCATTCCCAGTAGCTACCAAAACAGTAATTATTTAAACAAATAAAACAAAGAGCCAAATATCTTAGAAATAATAACCAATTTTGACATTTGATACTGGGAATCAAACTCAGGATCTTGTGCTTGCCACGCAGGAGCTGTGCCACTGAGCTATGTCCGCAGCCCAGGTTTAACATCTGTGTATCACATTGCAATTGTGAAGTTACTTTCATGATGATGCATGTGTGTTTAATATGTATGATTTTATCCTGTATGTCCAGGTTGCCATGTGATTTCTGTGAATAACAGTGAACTAGATGACTTCCTCCAGGACTGACCGGCCACTTGTACTCACGCGTGATGCCTAAGGAGTTCAGACAGAACTTCCACAGGTCTATAGGCCGTTAACATATCAAGACTTTCAAACAGGTCCACATCTCTCACAGCCAGCATCAGAGGGGTCAAGCCATGTTGGTTTGGGAAATTGATATCCAGGAACTCTTCAGACTCCTTTAAAAACATGATGTCTTCTCTGTATTGTGCTTTTAGTACAGGCCTATTTATACAGATCTTCAAATGTTTTCTGCTCAGCCAATTTCTCATCTTAACTTTTATTTTGCTGCTGGGGATTGAACCCAGCTCTTTACTTGTAAACACGTGCACTGCCCCTGAGCTGCACTTCAGCCTTAACTTTAATATGCTAGTCTCAATATCTACACCCTCAGAGAGAGCTGAAAATAGACAGCTCTGGGTCGAGGTCTTAGCTCCGGAAGTTGGTTATTTAACCTTTCTGGACAAGTTATATGAGGAACTTATGGCTTATATGACTGATAAAATTACCCTGCGGAATAACAGACACCCAGTTAATGATGAATAATTTTCATTTGGGACATACTCACACTTGAAAAGTACTCGTTATTTACATGAAATTCAAATTCAATGGGGTATCTGTATTTTTATTTTCAAAATCTGACTACCGTACTTTCTGGCCCTGAGAATCCTCAGCTGTGCAGCTGGAACAATGGTGCAGGATTGTTCTGATGATTAGAGGCAGAATCAAAGCATTCAGCAGGGTGTCTGCCACATAGTCAAGGCTCAATAAGCATTTGTTGAGTGGGTGATTTACACTATTAAGGCAGTTCATTTAACAGTATTTATGCATTCAAATGAAGGTGGATATATGGATATCATTAGCTGCTTTAATGAAAGTAAAATTTAATTTGAATAATTCAGAACCAGAAAAGCTACTAAAAGGCCATAATGTTCAAGTTGCTCATTTTATAAACCAAAGTAACACTAATTTCCATCTCGAATTCACTGTGAGCCACATCAGGGTAGTCAGCGTCCTTATCTCAGCTACTCTAGGGATAAAACAAAGAGATAATGATATTACTTCAGCAGGGTGCTGTGGGAATTAATTAGTCAATTTTTTTCAGTCTCTGAGAATAAGCTGCCTTTTATATTGATGTTTATTATTAGTTAGAACCAATATGAAAGTTTTGAGATAAGAACAATCTTACTAGCAGGATTAATTTAGTATGTATTTGTTGATTAAGCTCTGGTACAGGCACTAGTTTCTTAAATCTGGGTTGCTAATTATTACAGGGGTTAAAAAAAGTAGTTTGGATTGCAATTACAACTGTCAAAAGTATCGCTAAAACAAAATGTACTGTCTTTCAGAAAAGTTTCTAACCCTCAGTGCATGATATATGACAATTTTAGATTATCATTCCATATAGCAAAAGAATATAAAGTGTCCTTTGGATTTGTTACAGCTATCCTTGATAGTGTATGTGACTAGAATAGCTTTCACTTTTTCTCTCTCTCTGTTTTTACCATAAGGGATTAGAAGAAACTGTCTCCTAGCAGCAATTGATTTTCTTTCAGCTGGAAGGTCACGTGGGTCTGCCAGTGCCTTTGAAGGTAAATGCCAAGAGTAGGCAACAGCTAGTTACCAATAATTAGTGTCCTTGATTATGCATATGGTTTGGCAAGGTGATTTGGGGATGTAGGAAATCTAAATAAGAGGATCAATATGCCTCTTAAATCCTTTAGTCATAGCTAAATATTATGCAAGTCGTAGGCTCTCTGATTCCCTTTTCAGGATAAAGATAATAACTCCAACTGGTCTAAGGGGATCTAAACAGCAACTGTACAAATGGCAGTGATGTCAAGGGAACTTCTCGGAGCTAGCTGATGTAGTTCTCTGGAGGTCTCTGGGTGTACATCATTACCCAAGGGTACTGCCTGACTTCTAGTATTCAGCTGGAGGAAAGTGGGAAAAGGCTACTGGAGTATTCTTTTGTCATCTTATTTTCCATTCCAGTATTCTGGGGTTTTTTGTTTTTGTTTCTTTTTTTTAGGAACTGGAAATTGAACTCAAGTTCTTGCACTTGCCACGCAAGCACTTATCCTACTAAGCTATCTCCCTGGCCCCTAGTATTCTGTTTGATCCCTTTTTTTGTTTTGTTTTGTTTTTCTCATATTTTCTTCTGAAATGTTCTAGGGTTTCACTTACTAAAACCTTTTTAAAATAAAAGACACCTATATAATCTTTGAACTTCCTGCCAGCTGCCCACCTGCCCAAAGGCCAAAGTAAACATCTTTAACTGACCAGTAAATGTTGAAGTTGTTCAAGATCACCTTGCCACGAACTTTGTAGAAGCTGCATTTGGGGAGCCTTGATTCCATTTACTGCCAAGAGTTGCCTTTGCATATCATGGTTAGCTACATGGACT